TGTTGGCCCAAGATAGGACTGTAGTGTTTGATAAAGCATGCAATAATTAGGTGACAAAATTGATTGATCCTGTGTGCCCCAAACAGCGTGTATCAAACGTATCGATTTGTTCAGAAGATAGCTGCAGCTGATATCCGTTTCTAATTCGAGTTTATTGTTATTTTACTACTTGTAAAGAAAAGTGACATATGATGGTTTATCAGCTTTCCGACTGATATCTCTTTGAACTGAGTGCATTTATGTTGCGTCGAAAATGATCTTTTTAAAAAATATATTTCACCAAATTCTGTTGAACTATTGTTGAATTATTCAACAAAAAACTAAGCTAATACCAGTGACGTTATTAGAAATTGCTTAAAAGTGCAGTCTGAGTAATGCAACATGTTCAGATGTTATCATCTGATGTTAACTTTATTAGCTTGGTGTTTGCTAACAAGCATTTAGCCTGGCATGTCAAGGTATTTGAGTTATTTGAGGCCTGGAAATGCTCATAGGTAGCAACCGGATAACAAGAATACGACTGAAATAAAAGAATATAAGTGATCGGGACTCTAATTGATGAGGTATGATCATACTTCTAGAAACTGTATGCAGAATACTATGTGTGAGTGAACCAGAGAGGTTGGAGTACTGACACACACAAGCACGCACACTAGTTTAGGGGCCATGCAAAAGGACATCCAAGGACCTTGGTTAGTGTTTTTTGTGTGAGTGTCCTTGAGGGACCGTGTGCATGCATGCACTCATGTAGAAGCTCTACGATCTCTCAGGTTCTGCCGAGAACAGGCTCCCTTTCACTGCACACACAAAAAATAATGTACTCCGACTGATTTAGTATTAAAATTATATTATTTCATTTTGACTAATTGGATCTGTTTTGTGGTGCCGCAGAGCACAGGCTGCACCGTATCCCCCTCATCCGGTTTCCTCCCTCTCTTACTCGGCTCTCTGTTCACTTGAGAACGTCTGGAACGTTGTGTAATATCAATCAATCAAACTTTATTTCAGACTCCGGATGAGAAAAGACAACAAATCACTTTAAAAAAATAAGAAAAAGAAACAGTGAAGAAACAGTACAGTGCTAATATTGTATTATATTACATATATTATTTGACCTTTTTAAGTTTTCTTTAAACAAAACTTTGGCACTCAAGCAAGTTTTAGAAGCAACGACACATTTTCATCCAGCCCTTATCAAATTTGTAGAGATAAGAGCATTTCTTAGGACTAAAGAATAAACCTGCTCTGTTTTGGAAAATGGTTTAAAGCTAAATCCATCAGATTATTTTATTACAATGATAATCCCACCAGGTATTTAGCTAATGTTCCTTCTTTACTCTGAGAATGCATTTTGATACATTTTCACACCAATGTCAAGGCAGACCATTTTCATGAATGTACTATTTGATAAATGTACAAGTACACACAAAACTCTCTCTCTCTCACACACACAGACACACAGTTTCACATGTATCCAGTTAAAATAGCTGTAATATTTAATTCATATGATAATCATTAAAAGTGCAGTGGTGCCGTGTCCATTACGCATTCCTTTTCTAGCAGGATAAAACAGTCCTCAGATGTGGTAGCTGCACTTTGAAGTGTTGTCTCAGAAGCAGGCCGACTCTTACAGAAAGTCCCTGATGTTTAAAACATGCCATGCGGGGGGACTAACAAAGGTGAGCACTTGTGGCTTGCCCCGAGATGAGACGAAAATGGCCAGGTAGGAATTTGGCTGCATGTGATAGAATGCGGAGCGGACATCAAATAAACAAAAAGCAGAAAAATATACACGTGGGTAATGCTGAAATTGTAAGGATAGAAAACACAGGGGTGTCCATTCAGATACATGGACACACACACACACACACTCATGCATGTGTCAAATTGACCCTCAAATAGCAGCGAAATGATACCGGGACACAGGAAGCTAAAATACAAACTGAGGAAATCACTTCCATAGACCAGGTACAGGTGTGATAGATTTGCAATGACCCCGTTTTGTTTCGCTGTGTCCAGGGATTCTCTGAGAGGCATTCTGGGAAGCCCTGCATTGCCCTTTGTAATGGTCTGACAGTGACTTGGTCGCTGATAACAACCGTGTGCGAGTGCACATTTGCGTGTTTTGGTATATTTGCAGACAAGCGCAGATTTCCTCAGCTGAATCTGTGCAGTCTGATGGTTAAAAAGTCGTCCAAGGGAAGTCGGTGTCAATAAGATAACCTGGGAGAATGTGCTGAGCTGGGCTGGATGTTCTGCAGGAAGGAAAGTGCGGTGATCCACAAGCAGGAACTCACATTTTGTCCACTCATTACACCCCTACACATGCACACTCCAAACCCCCTAACTGCCGTCCGTATTTCTGCCTCTGTCAGGCCTTTTTCCCCCGGACCAAAAGCACAACACACACACACTCAGGAAGTGGCCCGTGTGGCTCCCAAATAAGCTGATGTGTCATGCGTTCCTTTCCGATATTTCTGCAAAAGCTCAGGAAAGAGGCTGCGGTACATCTCTCCTTCTCCTTCCTCTTCTCCCCTTGTGTGAATGAGGCGCCGCTAAAGCTGCGACAGCTCACGTTCTTCTGCAAGAACCTGCCGTTTAGACGCTGCAACTCTGGGAGCCATGAGTCGCTGTTGCGTGGTCAAAGTGACCACCTTGACAGAGATCCAACTTCTACAGGTAAGGCGGATCGACTGAACCACAGACCGGTCAAATCGGGACCAGGTCAGGTATACAATGTGTTTGTGTGACTGTGTGCACAGTTGTTGGTGTTTGCGCGCGAGACAAATACATTGTCCGTGCTTTATAAAGAGACGAAGGACACTTAACAATAAATGAATAGCCACGGTGGAATGCACATTTGGTGATCGGTTTCTAGTCCCAGTCTTATCTTCCTTCACATTTCACAATCTGGGGTGTGCGGTTGGAGCTATTTGGTGGTTCGCAGGCTCAGCAAAAAATACGGTGAGCACGTCTGTGGAGGCTTTTTGTACTAGTTAGGTCTTATATCTGATTCAAGGTGGGGAAAGGATAGCTGAGCATCAGCACTCTCTCAGTATGTCAGTATGTTGTAAGAATACAACGACAGAAATGAATCCAAACAACCTATACTAGGTTTTGTCCATAATTTGTACAGATTGTTAATGTCACCATCACCCAGTGTTTCATAAGTCGGCTTTTTTTTCTGAAGTGAAAGGAGAACTTGGGCAAGACTGAAACTGAGTTAAGCAAGAGCTTTTCATTCGGAGGAGACACCTGTGAGTGTTTCTGTTGCGATGGCAGTGTGAGTGCAGCTCGTTCAGTGGGACTGACGAAAAAACACCTTTTAAGAGAGGTAAATCACACCACTATACAGATAGAGGCTGATGAAATCATGATCGTCCGTGTGTGTGTGCGTGTTTGTAAGAAATGTAGACTTTTCGTTTTCCAATAGGTGATTTGGAATGTACAGCTTGTCCTTTAAAATAGGATTGATAGTTTGTATTTTAGGGATATTGTTGTCATTATATATTTGACATAGTTGCAGTCTGGCTACACCATCTTCATTTTAGAGGTTTGAATGTTCTAATCTAAAGCATCTGATCTCATCAACACGGTGAAGTTTATAACTTTTAAAAGGAGATAGAAACTGAAAACTCAAACCGAACGAATATCATTGTGTTATTCCAACATTCAACGACTAAATGAATATTCAAATGCATTTAGTAACAACTGCTCTGATATTAGTGAATCATATTCCTGTACACTGTATAAGAGATAGCATGTTAGTGATAACTGTTCAAATTTGTGCAAACGGAAAGCGAAGCTGTGACTCTTCTCCACCAGTAACGTCAAACACTACCGCGATTGTTGTGGCAGGTGCACGTAGCCACGTTGAGAGTGAGAAAAAAAAATCAAGTGTCTTAAACCTCAGAATAGTCACTACAATCCCAAACCTGAACCTTGATTGATTAGATTCGTATCTCATTCCTGTCCCATGTGTATGGTCGGCATTGATAACTCTCCCCATGTCCCCTTCACACATACACAGGCATGCCATTGTCGAGGTTGGCCTCAGCGACTGAAGCACCATTACCTCACAAATCTAATCAGATCCCCATAAGTGGATAACAAGCGTGTCTCCGGCATTTACAGTAGTGAGAAAGCTGAAGTGAAACCAGGACAAACCGCTGTCACACAAAGCAGATGTGGTGTGCAGCGGACCTGGCATCCCTCCTGCTCTCCGTAGTGGAAAAGAAATGTTGATTGGCTAACAACTGGTATCTTGTTGGGCCTGGAGGAGTCAGATAAGAGCTCTCAGTCAGTACTGACAAGTTGAGTATTGTGACGAGCCCGTTCTTAGTTAGGTGGACGAGGGGTGAATAAGGCTAGCTGACGGGGGGAATTTATTGCTGAGTTTCAATGCAGAAGTTGGCATTGCTGAAGGCCCCTGCGATTAAGCAGTGCTGACATATAACCCAGAAAAACACATAGCAGGTCGCTTGATGGCAAGCAACCCATTCCGCCATTTCCAGAAAGTTCGGAGCTTTTGCGACTGAAAAACGCTGCTCTTTAAAATGTGAAAACAAGATACAACAAAAAATCCAGCTGTTCGAATGGATTCAGTCTGTGTTTTGTTGTAGTAGCCCTTTGAAGCAGCTAATGGTAGCTTAAGTCATTTAATAATTTCCTTTCTGAGTGACTTACTACCTGTATGACACTTCTGTACATGTGATACTTAGTAGTAGTAGTAGTACAGGCATGATCAAAGCTAAAGAACACTAATATGGGAGCAGAGATAATGCAATGTTCTTCTTCAATATCATATGACCTTAAGGTCATCTTCCAGTCTATTTCAGTAAATCTGATAAAGTAAAACCCAAGCATTGTTGCTCATCTGCATTTTGAGGTCAGTCACTGAAAAATAGCAGCCGTGTAATCATGAAGTTAATTCACATCCACAGTCATACTTAGACCAGAATATATATATATATATATATATATGTAAACAAACAAAAGAAACAACGAAATATCAAAGTTAAAGATGCATACAAAATGTAAACTGCATGTTTGCTCTGTAATTGGCCCTCAAATACAATAATAAATACCTCAAAATAGCTTCATTAGAGTTATTGTTTGGGGAAATTGCTAATACGTCACTGAATAAAAAGGCTTGGTTAAAAATGGCTTTAGAGTTATTTAAAAAGGGAACAAGGGTCAATTGTGCTGCCACAACCCCTGGAGCAGGCCATAGAGGACGATGTAAGCTGATCACTGATTGGTCAGTCTGACAGCAAAGGGCGGTCCAGATGATTTAGGGACGGACGCTACAGGCAGATATCCTGCAGTCATCAAACCCCAGGTGATCTGACAGTTCAGTGTTTGAAGTGATTATCCTGCTATGCAATATAAAGGCTTACCCCCAGCTTTGTGGCTAATTAGTTCACTTAGGGCGCTTTATAAGACTTTAGTAGGGGACAGGGCAGAACAGACACTTGCCGAGGAGTCCGTAGCTCAACAGGATTGCAGCAGCAGCAGATTTTGGATCCTTAAAGTTGACTCGCTGCTTCACAAAAACAAACCAATCCGAAGACTACTGCTTTTCTGAGAATGCCACACTTAACTGGCTGCAGTTACTACACAATGCGGGATGCGACAAGAGCTTCAAATGTAAGGACAACAACATTTTGAATATTACTTGGTGAAAAAATGTTGTTGAACAGTTAAGCTTGTTTTCCAATGTAACACATTTGTAAGGCTTTTATTGCAGGTTTGGCAGTTTTGACCACTGGCTTCAAGTATATGTATACACTGCTGATTAATATCATTTATTGTTGGATTCTCGGGCAAATATTTTAAAATCCACCACATTTTTCAGTCAAAATCTGACAGTAAATGCAAAGTAAAGAGTGTTTGGTCTGTTAATTTTCTCTGCATCAGTGACTAATAATGGAAAATACTGGAAAATGGTACAAACAATTCCCGTGTGCTAGATTAAAAGCCGGCAGCTGCTGTGACCGCATCTCTTCTGCATGCGTTCTTAGTCAGCGCTGTCTCAGTGGCGTGAGAAACCATCATCGGACCGTCTGATTTTGTACTTACTCAACTAACTAAACTCGTTTATTTTTCCTGGTACAGGTACAGAACCACCTGGAGAACTCCAAGTTCCACCTCCACCAGACCCAGAATCAGCAGGTCAAGCAGTACCTGACCCTTGGCTCCAAACTGGCCTCGTCGGCCGGGCAGGGACACGCCGTTCTGCACCCGCACGCCTCCGGCCAGCCGCTGGGCACCGTGCCGATCATGAGGAACGGACACATGCCTCCCGTCAGCGACGGCAGTAACCCCAACAGCCCCGTCACCCTGCTCAGCATGGCCAGTCACGACAGCGAGGTGAGTGGACTTACGGAAGAAAGAAGCCGCGAATCAGGATGTTGCTGAATAAAGGAAACCGAAAATTGAGGAAACGCAGAATGTACCCAGGAGAAACTGGAAGAGGGAAATTGCGTGAAACGAACTGGAAAGTATGGTGCACATACCGCACCAGACATTGTCGTCATTTTTGTAGATTTCGCAACTTTCTTGACATGTTTTCCTGTAAAATCTCCATCTTTGCCTCAAAGGAAATGTATTGTTTTGCTATAATGAGATTTGTAAGAATTTAGCCCGTCTTTGTCCTGCCATTTAGAGGGATAAGGTGATGTTTCACTCTTTGTTTGGACACAGTCAACCTGTACAATTTCAATGTGGATTGGGTTTTGAGATCGTAGCTCTATCTAATCATCTCACCAAAGTCAAGCCATTATTGATCTCCTTCTCCCTCTGATGTGCCTATCAATAACTTCAGACATGCAGTCTCTGATGAGAGAACCGTCTCAAAGGAGGAAACTAGGTTGATAACAGGTTCATGTTTTTTCCTTTCCTTTGGAGAACTTGTTTGTTATTGAATTAGTCTCCTCACCCTCCCTCCCTTTTCCTAATGTCTATTTTTGAGTGTTGAGATTTGGACAGTACAGATCTTCTGGCACAAACATCACCCGTCTTTCTATGAGTACACTGAAATGACCGTTTTCTTTTAGTTCCCAATGGATGAGGTCATTGATGACCTGATTAGTCTTGAATCCGGTTTCAATGACGGAGGCTTGGATTGCATGGAGCCTAACCTCATGATGCAAAACAATGTAAGTATGATTTAGACTAACAGCTACATAGTAACACTGGTGTCAGAATATACTACGGATAATGTGTGTAACAGTTTTAAGGTGTACTGTGTTCATTTCTGCACAGTCCCTAATTTGTTAACCTGCTCACATGTGTGCAGGACCAATAGCTCCGGCCTCTTAAATTCAACACTGACTTGAAAGTGAGATTACGTCATTTCCACCGAAATATTTAGGAGCATGCTTGACCTGCGTGGGAAGAAAGGGACCTGTCTTAGTTTGGGATCAGCTTAAGTCTGGAGATGAGTGAAAGTTCATCGAGGCTTAGCAACATTTCTCACATTACTCAAGAAGATCAACAACACAGATTAGGTTTAAAAAGGAGGATGTTTTGTCAACGCAGGTAGACACCTAAAAGAACCTAAACCTAATCTAAAAGAAGCTGAATCAACGGTCACTGTCTAATAATGCTTCAACATGAGGAAGACAACCAACAAGAAGTGGCACCACAGACAAGCACTATCAGAGATTCATGGCCAGGGAGGAATTCAAAAACTCCGGACAAAAATGTAGGACAAGGGTTGCATTTGGCCAGAGAACGTAGCAACACCTGAAGCAAATACAGGGACAGTTTGTGTGATGGGAGCGCTGCCAATCTGGCCTAACTCCTTAAATACAGAGAGGACAGAGACTCTCACAGAATCTCACACACACACACACACACACACACACTGATAAAGTGACGCGCAGCGAAACACAACAGACACTGTGATACAAAAAGGAATGAGAAGGGGGAGGACAAGATGAGGCGTGGAGGGGTTGAAATGAGGAGTGAGGAGAAGATTTTGTTGGGGAGAGTTACTGAGCCATTGGATTGGGCTAATGCATACACTCCCCGTGGGCTTGTTCGGAAATTATACCAGGTTTAAAGGGATCGCTTCATCCTAATTAGTCACACGGTACGATGCGTCACGTCGCTACGCAGCGTCAACGCATCCCGGAAGAGGGACGGGAGAAGGACTCAAGTGATTACAAGTGGAGGGGAATTGTTGCAATCTTTCATTCAAGTACTTTTGTACCTTCCTCCTCCATCTTGGTGAGATAATAGGAGAAGAAAAAAAGCCAACTAAAAGGACTGACGATATCTGATATGTCCGCAGTTTCCTCTGTTTTGTTTCTTCTTTTCACTCTCCATTCCCTCCCTTCGCCTGAGTCGACATGCACCCTTATCACGTTCACCGCTCTGGCCCCTTACATTTGACACGCATCCCGCCGTGGACAAAATGGTCTGCACGCAACGGGAACGCATGGTGGCCTCCGCAGCGTTTTCCCATCAATACACAAATGCAAATTAGTCACACGCGTGTGACAGCGCGCAGTATCTCGTCATCTCCCCAGTCCGTGAAAACACGTCATTATCACACAACCGCTGCACGCTTTCCCAGACTAGAGACCGGAGAAAACAACTTTGTCCTTGTTCAAGCAGTTGACCTAGCTAGCCTTTTTTTTTAAAATATCTAATGGGATGCTATACTTAACACAGAGCACATCTCTGTGGTAGAAGCACTTTCAAGTGGAGGGGTTTAGAAAATGTCGGGGGGGAGGGGGGGGGTGGCAGATCAAGGGACAACTTAAGGAACAAACCAAACCTCAGATGGCCGCAAGCTTGGGTTGGAGGTCAGGCTTTGATGGAGGAGAGAGGGGGGCACGGGGGGGGGGGGGGGGGGTGACCCTTCATTGACCTGGCTTCACCAAGGTTAAGTTTTTGTTTGGTGTTTTTTTTCACTGCAATGACGCTGAACGACAGGGCAACCTGACGGCGGCAGCGCCTCACGGACGCAGCACAGCGCGTTCCCGCTGAGGCCGCATGCGGATGCTGCAACTCCCCTGCTGGGAGCCCCGAAAAGCCTCCCCCCCCCGCGAGCGCTCTGATCGTTACACTGGCCTCTTGTCGTGTTTGTCAATGACAGACAAAGGCACACAGCGGTGAAACACAACTGTTTGTGTTGTGGCTGTTGTTAAAGTGAATGCAAATTCTTTTGTAAATTCTCTTCCCCGGTGACTGACAATTTGTCTTTCTCCCCTCCTCTTCTCTCCTCTCTCTCTCTCTCCCTCCCAGGTTTCCCTCAGTGGCAGCATGCTGGATGTCTATGGGGGTGAGCCAGGTATGTGTGTATTGGTGTAATAAGCTCACACGGATATGAACTATAGCATTGATCAAACAACGAACCCCTCAATGAACAACCATTTTTCACGGTGGCTGTAGAATTTAGCTGAAAAAAGGAATGCATTGTTTTTAGATTCAAACTCTAGATGGGTGCTAAAAAGAACTCGAGTCCAATTAAGTGTCAGTCAAAATAAAGACAAATGTCCGGGCCGATTTGTGAGCAGTGATTGAAAGCTACTCCGCGTGTCACTGGCTCTGTTAATAACCTGTAGAAACGTGTAGACTTTTTTTTGTCACGTTGCAAAAACACAAAAAAAGAACAACGGACCCTTTAAGACATTTCTTATTAATGTCATGCATCAAGGAAACATGCTTAATTGATTTAGGAAATAGAAAGGACGCCCAAAGAGCCCCTTCAGCCTCAACAGGCAAATGAGTAAATTGCCACTCGTTTCATTTGTGTGTGGGCCGAGAAGACAATGGGCTGTTCCACGGAGTTTAAATTGTCTTGATTGAATCAACAGAGACAAATTGAGAAATCCAATCTCAGGTCCCCAATTACGTAATTTGGAAGAATGTGGAGTACGAATATGGATGCTGTGGCATTTTTGTCCTCCAGGACAGATTAGTGAATTTGTTAAACTGTCTTGATTATGGTGGTTTAAAAGTGATCCCCACAATGGGCTTCACACATGGCAGAGGGGATAAATTGGGCTCTTTCAGAGTGTGCGTGTATGCGTGACTTTGTGTGTGTGTGTATGGTGATCTGGCTTGTGTCTGTTGGTGTGCACAGAAACTCCAAATTCAGGCTGACCCCGGCACTGAACTCTGAACACTGGACTCCCTCAAAACAACTGATTGTGCGTCTGCTGACTGGACCTTTTGTAGCGCTTGCCGTTGGTTGTCTTTCGCTTTCTAAATTAGTGTGCGTTGCTAATCGATTTTGCTTTTGTCCCTCTGTGACCAACTATTTTTCCGCAGTGCACGACACAAGAGTGATGGCCAAAGAGAGGCAGAAAAAAGACAACCACAATCTCAGTAAGTGTCTCTCGCTCGCTCACAGTTCACCCTCCAAAAATGCCTTTATGGCAGCCGAAGGCAGCCGTAATCATTTTTTTTTGTTCTGCTTCCTTAGTTGAAAGAAGGCGAAGATACAACATCAACTACAGGATTAAAGAACTGGGGACGCTCATACCCAAGTCGAACGACCCGTAAGTTGCTAGATATGAATGTATTTATGGAGAAAAAAAATAAAAATACCCCTGCTTCTCTTTACTTTACGTCACTGAAACAACTGCAGGACTTAGTCTGCCGGGAGAGCGTATTAAATTCTAAGCACAAAGACACTAAACGTTGTTCATTGAATTCAAATGAGTACTCAAGCAGTCATATTTCAAGGGTGCACTTGAACTTCCATTGTAGTCCACGCTCCGAGAGCTGTACATCATCTCGCTGGGTCCCAGCAGTTCGGCTCAAAGCATGAATGATGAGGAAAGGGTCAAATGCAAAGAAGCAGGCCACACCATTTGAATCAAAGTTTGAAGCGCAATTGGAACACAGCGATGGAGTGTGGAGGTGAATTGAAAATCCACCGGCCATCTTTTGCAATTGAACTTTGCCTCAAATTTAAATGGAAGGTTCGTCGTTGTCACTGTGCCATTAACGCGAGATAAAAGAGATTATTAGCGCTGATCAGACCAACGTCTCGCCCGTGTGGAGATGGACAATTTTAATGCAGGTTCCCTTAACTTCTTAGCGAAAGCAATAATATCTGCAGAAGAATGACTTGCACTCTAGCACCTCATGTCCGATGCTCCATTTTCTCCTCCGTCTCCCTACTTAGCTCATTTTCCCCTCACCTATTTTTACTCGAGGATTAATTTTACTGAACAAGGAGGTACGAGAATGGACTTTCCGCATAGCTACTTAACTATTCTATTAAAATTCCCATTCAGTGTCCCCATGTAATGTCCAAGGATGAATAATTGCACCATGTAAATCTCCATTTCGTATTCATTTCATAAAAGGGGAAAAAACCTCAGAGTTAAAACTTTCCCCCGTTTTTTTCCCCCCATTATTATTACAGGAGGATATTCTGCCGACATCAGGGGGTTCTGTGTAAAAGGTTATGTTTTACATTCCTCCCTTTCTGCAGGGACATGCGCTGGAACAAAGGCACCATCCTGAAGGCCTCGGTGGAGTACATAAGGTGGCTGCAGAAGGAGCAGCAGCATGCGCGGGAGCTGGAGAGCCGTCAGAAAAAGCTGGAGCAAGCAAACAGGAGACTTCTGCTGAGGATCCAGGTAAAAAAATCCCTCCGGCGATAACAACACGGATTGAGTCCAACAAAATCACGATTGTAGCACTGAATATTATATATACTGTATATATATCGTAAATGTTTAGTTACGCCCAAGATCCTCTTGGCTCACACAGTCGACCGCATCTGGCTCAATCGGCCGTCGCACTAATTTCCAATTACAACGTTTTCAACCCCACAACCTAAACTAATTTCCATTGCCGAAGACTAAACCCCGCCCTGCTCCTCTTAACTCCTGGCGTTTCCATGGGGTCCTTCCACTGCTCTCCATCTCACGTAGGTCAGTGTGCATTTCCTCATGAATAAAAAAACAATGCACTCAGCTGGTTCGGCCAGAAAGCCGCAGGTTAAAAAAAAACAGATTACGAGAACTAATGAAAGAGATGCGTAGGAGAGGGAAGGATGCGGTTTACCTGAATTTACGTCATTGACAGGAAGGATCCCAAAATCTGTAATCGTCTTCAGAGATGACAAAAGTATACATGAACAATAAAACATAACCAACAACCATTCGTGACGTCACTGAACGGTTTTGATGATATGCGGTGATTAAAGTGTACGTGGGAGACGAGTGCAGCCAACACCCAAAAAATCCAGAAGGCCGGCTCACCGCGACCTCGGTTTGTAGACGAGATGAGGAGTGGTGTTTCTGCTCGTAATCGAGCACGTTGCAATCTTTCGGTATTCACACATGAGTATGAGAACTGGACGAGTGAGGGGATATTTAACTCGTGATTCCTTTGCCAGGAGCTCGAGATCCAGGCACGAGCACACGGCCTCCCGAACATGGCGTCAGCCTTGGGGGCCGCAGAACCGACCTCGCAGCTCCTCAAACAACCGCAGCAGCTCCAGTCGTCTCCCCAGGCCCAGCAAACCCAGCAAGCCCAGCAAGCCCAGCAAACCCAGCAAGCCCAGCAGCCGCCGCTCTACCAGGAGGACCCCAACGGCGACTACCTCCAGAGGATCGCCGGCGTGCCGCCGTCCCTCCCCGGGCCCCACGATCACATGCCCGGCGCCGACGGCTGCACCACCTTCTCCGACCCGCTGTCCCACTTCACAGACTTCTTCAGCGCCACCCTCAAGGAGGAGCACCGGCTGGACGAGATCCTGATGGACGACCCGCTCTCGCCGTTTGGCGCCGACCCGCTGCTCTCGGCCGGCTCGCCCGAGGCCGCGTCCAAGGACAGCAGCCGCCGGAGCAGCTTCAGCTCGGACGAGGGCGACGACCTATAAGGGCCCCCTTGTTGCCTTCTCGTGACATCACCGTTGGGCGCGAGTCTCTGCAAGACTGACTGGCGGCTCCGGACGCACAATGACGAACGCTCGCAGCGTCGCGTGTCATTTAAGCGACGAGCTAACTGACCCGGCAGCGCCTCTCAAAGTGCCAACTGTAAATAAAGTGCGTGGTTCCTGCTGATCGGGTGTGATGTTCGAGCTGGATTGGTCCCAAAGCTTCAAAGCTCAGCGGGACTAGAAGCGGCTCAAGGACCTCCTGCTCCTCCACCTGCTACTTTTTTACTTTTTTTTCTTTTTTTTTTTTACCTCACAACAGACAATGAACTTGTTTCTCTGCCTCCCGGACAGAACTGAAACAGACACACAAGAAAAAGGGAGACATTTATAAGCCTTTTTAGTACGTGATATAAATGACTGTCCGTTGTTTTTGGTTAACACTGTGGTAGCTGTACACTGTAATACGTGCAAAATAATCACAGAAATGCAGCCAGAATTCTCCATGAATGAAATGAAAATACTACTTTCAAAGGACTGTAAACAGTGATGTGCCTTACTCCAATTTCAAGTTTCAACATGGGATCAACACGGACGTCCTCGCTGCAATGCCTAACATGTCTTGTCTGCGTCCTTCAAGTGTTTTGTCATATAATTGCTTTTGTATTTATATACGTTTTAATCCATTATTTTGTGAAAAATATATATATATATTATCCAACATGTTACTTTTTTATTCTTCGTATAGGGGTGGGAAACAATATAATAAACCCCTTTTTGGTAAATGGTATTTTGGCGTATTGTTTCAATCTCACAGACAAGATGTCTGCAGTTGTACAACCGAAATAAAAAATACAGAAAAGAATGGAACCAAAATACAAGTACACACACATGTACATGTCTCACACTCTGCTCTATTGTTAAGTGTACAGGGAGTGCAACACATTAGGGGCATGATGATACAAGGTTTTTGCACAGACAATCGTTAAGTAAGAAACAAAGGCTCTGAGTCAAGTGTGTCTTTTCTCCGTTTATTTCCTTGCAAGGGAAAAAGGGTCACAACAGCTATGTGGTCAATAGACTGTCAAGAACCTCCTTTTTTCCCCCAACACATCGAGGCAGTTCTTATACCTAAGTTTAGATATCGGTGGCGTCAACAGAAACCTTTAACCATCTTGTTGAGTATCTACAGCCAGGGTACTGGGAACATCTTATCCATGTAAGACACGTCAGCTCTTTGACCGTGTCCTTGCTCTCCCAACATGCTAAAACAAAGGTGGTCATAGACATAACAAACACTTTGTTCAATCTCTATAACTATGACGGTGGAAACATCTAATCCAAGTGGGAGACATCAGTTCTTATGTCAGGGCCTTTGTGATCTAACCACTTGCAACTAATAAACTGGTTATACAAATGAAGCATTTAAATGGGTCACATATCATTTTCCCATTACATGGTAAAGGGCAAAATCCAACGTGATCTCCAAAACCTGTTTGTAAAAATGTATACGAAAATCTTGAACATACAAATTCGTAACAATACATACGAACTGCGGTGGTTAACCACGCCCCTTGAGTGAACAACATGGCGGACCATGTCTGATTCTCGAGTGAACGTCTCTCCGCCATGTCGGATTTTTTGAGGGGGTTAGGGTTAGTATTGTATTCTTACAATTTAACATTGATTTCTTGTTAAAAATGCAATCATAACACGTTTATTTTACATCGTTAGACTTCACAAAGTGTGTTTACAGGGTGCAGGTCCCCATTCACTTTGAATAGGGTGACGTCATCAGTTGCAGTCCGTATTTATTTTGTATGTATCACTACGAAATTGGTATGTTAAAGATTTTTGTATATACATTTTTCGTATATACAACAGGTTTTGGAGATCAGGCTGCAAAATCATACTGCAGGACAGCAACAGGCTAAAAGAGAGAACAAAGCGTGAAAAGTTACGAGTGCGGCTGATTGGCAATGAGTGGCAGAAAGGAGGAGAGAGGAGGGAAATTAGATAATAAAGACAAGAAGAGGAGGAGTAATAATTCTGATGAGGCCTCCGTGAACCGAGGAGCCCTCGAGGATGAATATGAATGAAAACGTGGAGGAATAAAGAGCCGCTGTACGGGCTGGGAAAGTTTCCTCTGAGGTAAGCAGCGTTGTGTCCTTTCATGGTGTAGGAATGTGATCACAAAGTGTAATATTAATAAAGTTTGTTTGGAAAACACTGATCAAAAACCTTCGGCCCCCATTAGTCATTCATCAACATGTAGTTTTATAGCCGTGCATTAATAAAACAACAGTCTAAAATGGAAAAAAAAATAAAAAGAAGAACACACGCCAATACTTCCCGAATGGATTTCTCATCAAAGCCTCCCTGAATTAATGTTTTAGAGTGTTATTAGCGCGTCTTTCTCCTTAATGAAATCGAAACGTTCTTCGCCCGCATCTCTTTAGCCGCAAACAAGACTGAACCGATCAATCATTATGGAGTACAGTCACTCCAACTACAAAGCGGTGACTGATGTTTACGGGTAATTGGCCAAAGCAGTTATGGAAGGTAAATATAGATTTTTATGAAGAGCATCTAAGAAAGCGTCAGATGCAACAGCTGCATGACTCAAATTTCAAAGGCTTCATTTACACTTAGACTTTTTCTTCTCCATGCTCGTACTTCAAATACACAAATCCAATTAGTTAGTACAGGAATTGAAGAAAAACAAAGTTAGAAAACACAAATGAATAGCTCCACTGACAGTAATACACATTCACATAACGCTCGTTTGAGGCTTAACAGAGCAGACGAAGCATTCTGCTCGGAAAAAGCGAGTCAGATTAAACTTCCTAACTCATTTATTTCTCTCCATATCAAAGGCTATTATGGCCAAAGTTGAAGGCCAGCTATGCGCACACTTCAAAAGGAAATGTGGTCGGATGAGGCAACGGTGACATCAGAACAACTGACTTTTTATTTGGATTATCACAGTCAATCAGCTCATGGTTTGAAAAACTCAAAGGAGCGGATATGGAGGCGCGGGCAGCGGAAGCAGCGCAGGTATCCCACGGCGCTGTTCAGTTACAGGCATTAGTTGCACATGTTTAAGAGCAGGACGTCGATCCGAACGTGTAAAACAAATCTGGGAAAGTTTGCAAAAATCTCCGTTCCTCTCCCACATCCTCTGCTTTCCAAAGAACCTCCTTTGAGGGAAGCACATTGGTTTCTAGCTAGTTACAACACATGCCCCCCGCCCCAAAAAACGATGCACACCTTGTTAAATAATCTTTCCATTCCTGTGTTCTTGCACATGCATGGTTCTCCCTGCAAGAATGACCTCACCTCCGGTGTCAGAGGGTTGCTGCTGTGTCACATTTCAAACAGCAGGAGGCAGCAGCGGGCTGTGCGTTTTCATCACTCTGTGCAGTTTGCTCATAGAAAGAAAACCCAAAACAGGAGGTGTGGTACAACAGCAGAGAACGATTGTGGATTTATTTTATTTTTTTAAAGCCAATCAAGTGAAATGAGAATATTATAACGGCAGTTAGTAAACGGCACCCTTTCGCATGTGGAATAGTGCCGTGGCAGTTCATGCTAAAGTCCACGCAAGTCCCTACACTTCCCAGTAAAAACTGACGAATCCAAAGAAGGCGAGTGTTGTCGTGAACCGCACAGAGCAGTCGTTCTGTCACCAAAACAACGTTGTCAGTCCTTCTGCCTCCCACCGACTCTGCCACCACCACCACCACCGAGCAGGAGAAGCTGTCGCCTGAGCAGATGCCACAGCTGCCAGCGTGCTACAATGCACTCACCTGTCGAGCCTGCCATTGGCAACTCTTAATCACCTCCTGCTGAGGTGACTCACTTTGGAGCACAGCAAACACACGTAACACACACACACATAAACACACTCATACACACAAATAAGCCTAATCAAATGTGCTTGTGGCAAGCACAAACCCCGCCCCCATCACACACACACACACAGATATGCATGCAACACATACACACACATGCACAGGTGTGTGTATCTCATTGTACCTCGATGCTACACGTACGAGGAAGAGGAGGAAAAAAAAATAACCACCTAAAAGCCCTCATCAGGATTTGGACTGACAAGACTTGTGCACAAATTAGGTGAAATTTGAGTAACAATGTGACAGCCGGCGGTGAGGCACCAAACATCAAGTGTCACATCTATTTCCAGCCACGACTCAGAGCTGTGTGACAAACAACACCATGCTGCTTCTCAATCACTCAGCCCGTCTCCTGGAAATGCAGCAAACTTGGCCCTGGTTGAGTTTTTTTCCTTATGGGAAAATAAAAGACAACGGATGTGAAGTTAAGGTCAAAGTTGAAATCATAAAACTGGGCCAAAACTGCAGCATTACATTTGAGGAACAGGAACTCAAGCGATGAATATTATTCCCTCCCTAAACTACAGTCCTTCATCCCATTATTCTTTAGGGCATTTGCCCCCATGCTGCTTTTATTAAGGACCACACCCTTACCAGTGCTCCACAAGCTCCCATGTCACTGGCCTAGCAAGGCCCCACGTGCATTTACGATGGAACACTAGAGAGATGAAAAAAAAAAAAAAAACCTGGCCGGGCCTGCTTTAGATGCTATAAAATTAATGTGATTTCCAGAGTTTTTATGAAACGAGCCAGATGCCAAATACATAACTTCAAACAAATTGACTTCCAATTATTGGTGCGGCGCACCACTTCCAGATGTGCAACAGATGGGGCCGGGGCGACCAAAGGTGTCTCAACCCGCGATTTGTGTTATTCTGCAGTAAAAAGGCAGTACAGTTGTATGTGTTTCAAATCACCGTGGGCTGTAGGCTGGAGGTGAAGGGAAGGACAGGGGGAAAAATGAAAAGCACATCATTAGGAAAAATATAAACCTACGCAGCACAGACAGTAGAGCTCTGTATGCTGCGTTAATACAGCCTGATATTATGTGAAGATGAGGATGCTGAGGCTGAAAGCTGGACTTCTATCAAGGAGATGGGGTATTGAGAAATGTAAATGTTAATGTGATCTTTGCTGTATCTTCCAGTGCTGGGATTAAATGGTAAAAAGGAACAATTATGGCGCTGGCTTTTTGGTGCATATGTTAATACAATATCCCTGCATGCATTAAGTACATTAGATATTATTAGAAGATATCCACACTACATAGCGTTATATACCAGAAGTAGCGCTGCACTTAAATTGGTAATAGGGTCCCTTCCTGGAAACTTTCAACAGTGTGATCAGTCACTGTTAAAGCTAAATAGAAGTGGAACAAATGTGATTCACTGTTTAAACTACATAAAAGTAAAACAAAATGTGATTCCGAGTGAGAAAAGTAGCTGAGCGTGGACTTCTTTTCACTATAGAGGAAACTAATAGAATATCCAATAGTGGTACGGCGTCCTGGGAGGGTCACGGCTGTGATCCCATTATTACCACAGACTTGAGCCCAGAGGGAGCCAAAATGGCTGTGTGTATTTCCCAGAGCCCGTACTGAAGACGTCTACTGGGCCCCTATCTACTTAACTAGCAGTCCGCCCGAGTGCCACAGGTCCCCCGCCTCTGATCCTGGGGGCCAAGGAGCTTCTCCTTACCGCCTCTCTGTTTTCACGTATCTTAGGCTGTCTATTCAAATACAGCGGAGAGCTGGGACCATTTTGCTTGGGCCATCGTTCCTCTGTGTTGGCTTTAATTCCCTCGCTCTGTCGGAGTTGTATGCTAATCCAACTGGAGTCAGTCCCCCCCTCCCGACCCCACTCCTCCCTGTCAGGTC